TTCCGCTCCTGATTTTTAAAAAAAGCTCCAGGTGTTTTTGAAAAAGTGTAGCGGCGCTCCTAAACAACTCTTATATATATGTAGACTAGAGGTCTGCATTGGGAGAGTTTTTGGACCAAAAGCCCGCCCATCCAATGTTTTAAAGATAATTTAACCCACCAGCCCAGCCCGCCTATAGTTTTAAAAAAATATATACCCGCCCGCCCCGCTTATTTGTCTAAAATTCCTTACCCGCCCGCCTGCCCATTAGTCTAAAATTTTTTACCCGCCCGCCCATTATTTATAAAAGATTTTTAACCCAAGCCCGCTTATGAAATTTAGTCGATCCTTTTTGGGAGGAAAGAAATTCCACCGACTCTCGGAATGGATTTAATACTGCGTAAAGCTCATCAATCATATCCCATTCATTATTAAAGAGTTTTAAAGATTGTTTTCCTATTTTATTTAGAACATTATTTATTGAAATTTTGTTTACACTGCGAACACTTTCTAGCATAATTAATATGCTATGCCAGCGGGTAGGGCAATTTAATATTTAAAGTTTTTCCATTAATTAGATTGGTTGGTGCAATGCCATTTCTATTACATCAGACATATCAAAATGGTCATCAAGGTATGGATCAATCATCAATATCCAAGATATTACCTGTCTCTTAAATTGACTGCAGACATTTACGATGTTCAGCCTCAACTTCACATTCCAAATCAGCTACTCAATATCTGAGGGCTAAAATAATTTCTCTAATTTTTTTAATGAGAATATCAATTTTGGTAACTTTTTTATGCCATCAACTGTAACCAAATTATGAAGTCCAAGCCCTAATCATAAATGTTGCTCATAATCCCCTAATCTGACGCTTCTTTTGACATTGGCCCCAGCATCAGTGACTATTTGTATTATTTTGGCTTTTAAATGGAACTCCTCTTTAATACTATCAATCTCAGATAATATTGTACCTCAGTATGCTTTTGAGTCACATTTCTAGTTGCTAGGTAAAATATTTTAAATCAAAATTTTCATCTAAATGATGAAGACTAAATGTGATATAATTTCGACGCTTGAAATGATCGGTCCATAAATCAAAAGTGATAGAACAAAATTTTGGTCCAGAATCAATCAGATTTAAAACATGCGCCTTTATAGATAAATAAAGATCTTCTAGTGCACCCCGACTAATGGTTGTCCTATTTGGTAAATCTGACGAGGAATCAATTATCTTATATTTCTATTTTTTAGGCAATTTATTTTTTAATAATCATTTTATATAAATTTTAAACCTTTAGAAAATCTCTCATTTCTTTATTGTTTATAGAATCAAATGGCATTAAATCTAAGCAGCACATCAAAACCATAATTTCGCCCTATTATATTTCATATTTATTTTAAACATTAAAAAGATATTTAAAAAACATCAAAATAATTAGAGCTGGAATGAAACAAATTATAAATTTGATTTAGTTTTAACTTTCAAAATAAAGTTTTACATAATTAATTTAATAAAATATATATTAAGTTTATACATTAAAAAGACATTTAAAAAATATAATAATTAGAGTTGGGATGAAACAAATTATCAATTTGTTATAGTAGTAACTTTCAAAATAATGTTTTACATAATTAATTTAATAAATTATATATTAAGTTTATACCTTATCTCAAAATAGAGCTGGCAATAAATAAAAAAAATTTAGTTTGAACTTTCAAAATAAAGCTTAATAAAATTAATATTACAAACCAGTTAAAAATTTTAAATGAATAATAATAAACAATAATACTAACCTAAGAGCCACTTTTTATCTTTTATATTGTTGCTGCATCTTGGTGTTAGCTTTAAAAACATTTTTAGACTTTGAATGGATTATTATTATTCATTTTTTCTGTTAATTTGTGATAATTAATTAAGTGCCGAGATAGATCACTTGTACTTATATTTTTACTAAAACATTTTATTTCATAACAAAAATATATTATATATATAAATATAAGTCTAAAATAAAAATAAATTACTGTGAAAATGAATTATGTTTATTCGAATCTTCCTCATCTTTTTTCGCCAATTTTAAGCAAGGTTCACAATAAATATAATCAGGCATTATTGTGCTTTTCTTATTTTAATTCTTCAAAATAAGATTTCCAAAGTATCTTCAGACATAACTTGATTTATGATTAGTAGAGAGAGTATTATTTCATAATTGTATATAGGGTATTTTAAAACGTGCAAGTCCATAAAAATAATTAATATGAATTGTTTGTGGAAATTATGACGTTTGAATGAATGTAAATGATATCCACTAGTCTATTATATATAGCAATTGAATACAATTCATATTTTAATTTTATTAATGTTAGTATTCAAATTAAAATATTAATAATTTAATATATAAATATAATTAATATGCTTTCTAAAAATTATACACGCCGCGCCGCCGCCATAATAAAAATCGGCAGCGAGCCGGCGTGAATAAAAATGCCGGCTTCAGCCGACGGCGCACAGTTCTATATATATGTTAGCGTCAATGTGTTTTTTTCTGGCAATGTGATATTTTTTCAACTTTAAATCATTTTTTGAGCGCGTTTTTTAAAATTTAAAAATCTTATTTTACCGGAAATGTAAGTCGTCAGTTTGGAATACCTACCCTATGAATTTCAGACAATTTTTCCATGAACTTTTAAACTTAATGTAATTTATAGAGTTGTTATAAGATACTTTTTAAATGGATCTAGATACAGATACATCGTCTAAAAAATTATCTAGATACAGATACATCTTCTAAAAAGTTATCTTGCTACAGATACAATTTTAAAAATGTATATGGTACGATAATGTGAAAATTCATGAAATTAAAAAATTTATTGACTCGATATCAGTGTTGTTAAAATAGCGTGCTACTTTTTTCAGTAGCTGTAGCTTTAGAGGGCTACTTTTTTAGAAAATAGCGATAGCGGTAGCTCGCTACTAATTTAGAAAGCGCTACTTCGCTACTTTCAATTTTACATAATAAATACAATTAAAAATTATTAAAATATATTTTTTATTAAATCTAAAATTACAATCATTTTATTTAATTTTGAAATTTATATTTAAAAATGTATATTATAAATCTAGTTATTAAAAATGTGTGAGATTGTTGAAGATATCTAAATTTCTTTTCCCAAAATTCAAAAAATATTTGAATCTTGAAGAAAAAATTATTACTGGATTTCGGTTTCGATGTAATATGTGTCGCAAAATTTTATTCTCAAATCATACAAGCAGCTTTAATTTGAAAAAAACATTTAAAGGTAATATATTAAACAAATTTAATATCAATGTGTAGGCAAATCCTTAATTTTTAAAATAAATTTAAATCAAAGACCAATCATTTTTTTTATATATTCATAAATTTTATCTAAATTATTTAAAACATTTTAAAATAGTTATTTCAATCATTTTTATGTACTTATCTCCTACATAATTTTTATTCTAAGTATTACTATTATAATTTTAGACTGTTCACACCTCAAATTATAAAGAGATTGAAAAATATCTCAAAAGTTTTAGGGTAATGGAAGAAGATACATCCACTTCCAAATCAAATTTAATTCAAACAAAATTAAGCAATTTGGATTCATTAACACCAGGTGTATCTCAAAAATTGGCTAACAAAGTCATGAACTTTATAATAGATACTGTTCAACCATTATATCCTTGGTGGATAATGGTTCTTTTATAAAGATGATAAACACTTTTTCTTTTACCTTGCAGGCAGACATTGATGGCAAGAATTTTGGATAGCTTTAAAGAAATGAAAGAATCTTTAATATTAAATCTATCAGATGCCTCCTACATCTGTACAACAGCAGATTGCTGGACGCATAATATAATATAAAAATGTTTATTTTCTGTTTTATAATATGATATTCATATTTTTAGAGCTTATTTGGGAGTGACCGCACATCTAAAACGAAAATCTATAGCATTGGCTCTAAAAAGAATAATTGGCTGTCAGACTTATGACATTCTAGCAAATATTATTTCAGAAATCCATATGTCTTACAAAATTCAGAACAAGGTTTGTAAGATGATTACAGATAATGGGTCTAATTTCCTGAAGGCTTTCAGGTTTTAAATTTATTATAATTTTTTTATATGATATAAATATTGAATATTTGGTGAAGATAATAACATTACTTGTAATATTCATGACACCGAAATGTTTTTATTATTAAATTGCAATAATAAATAAATTATATATATATGTAACAAATTATAGTCATGTTTTTATACCAATATTTTATTTGTGGAAATAAAGTTACTTAAGAAATATTTTTAAAAAAAAATCAAAATAGCGTAAAAAGTAGCTAATAGCGCGCTACTCATTTGAAAACGATTAGCGATAGTTTTTAAAAAAATAGCGGTAGCAATAGCGTTCTATTTTTTAAAATAAAAAAATAGCGGTAGCGATAGCGTTCTATTTTTTAAAAAAATAGCGGTAGCGATAGCGTTCTATTTTTTTATAAAATAACGGTAGCGATAGCGCGCTACTTTTAAAAGTAGCGTTTAACAACACTGCTCGATATCACATTTATTAAAATATAACTAAAATATTGATTTCTCATATTGAATAGGATTATTTAAAATATAATAACCTTAATTATTTTAATTAACGATAACTCGTTATATTTTTTTTTAATTTTGTTATTTAACAATTAATAGTTTTAAAAAGATCATAAAATTTTAAAATATAAATGAATGTAACACAAAACAACAAATACCCACTTTATAAAGGTCTTGTGCAAATGGTTAAAAAATTAAAGATCTTCCCACTTTTAAAAGTAGACAGTTGTCCAATTTATTAAGGCATTTTCTAATAATAGTGACTCAAAATTTTGATCAAATTAGGAAGTTGTCCGAATTATCAAGAGCACAAATTAGGCAAATTTGACTGTATTATAAAAAGCATTTTGAACGGATACTTTTATTAATAAAAATTCTTACACCATATATATTTACCCTCAGACGCCTTTTTTAAAATGGTATTTTACAACCTCTATGTCTTTAATCGGAATAGAGAATGTGTTTTCTACCGTGAATGGCATAGAAATCGGCAATGTGCCATGTCCCGTTCTCAAGAATTTAAATTGACTTATGGGCTAGTTCATTCATGTAAAAACTTTCTAGGCAAGATTATGAATCCCGCCCTAAAATTTGAGCAGAGTTCATCTAAACTAATAAAAGTGCCAGTATCAAATTCTCCTTTAGATGATCAGATTCATTCTGCCAGCAATTTATTGAGTTTCAGTAATCTTAACAAAGCCAAGAATTTAATCAACGATGAAAATATTGAATTCAATATTCAGATATCTAAGGATACCCCTATTTCCCCACAAACAATTATTAATCAAGCAATGAACGAATATTACGGCAACTCAATTGATATCATAAAAGTGGAGATACAAGATTTGAATTTAGCTTACCAAAACCTCAACCCAACTTTGAGGGAAAAATGCAAAGAAAACAAAGAAGGGGCCTTGCTTCCCACAAACGAGTATCATTATTTTGTCATTCAATGTGATAAATATAAGTCTCACGTGTTTGAAACAGCTAATTCTTCTATGAAAATTGTGTTAAACTCCTCTATCAATTTCTTCGACGAAACGACACCCTCTGGAAACATATCAGCTCTTACAGACACCATCATTAATACCAATAAGAGCGTCAATCATTCGTTTTCTTCAGCCGATGTAAAGGCTCTGATTGAACAAATTTTTGGGCTCCTCTACGTACCTTATTACGTGGATAATCCATTATACCAAAATAGTCTCTTTGCACGTCACAGCACCGACAAATGCCATCTGTCTGAAAAGGTGTGTTCAAACGGGGCCACCACTTTTGACGCCCTCGACTGTCCCACGCTCATTTTAAATATTGACGCTCTCGTCGATAATTTCAACAGACACGGAGTTGCTTCCATCACTTAATTTCATTCATTAAAACATTCTCATTCTTTATCAAAATATTTTTTGTACAATTTTTAATTACTGTTTATGATTGTAATGTTTATTTTATACCCCTATAAACATTTAATTAACTCAAATCTCTAAAATAATGATCATTTCATATTTTAAAAAATTCATGTTTTATGAAATTTGCACAGAAAATAATAAAAAGAATCCCGGTAAATATTTCTCAATATTCTCATCTTATGAATACATCCGATAAAATCAAAGCAAGTATCGATAATATCGAAAATCTTAAAATTGAATGTCATCTCAAGCTATATCCAAGTCATGATATTATTTTGCTAGAGAAAAATTTAGGCATACTATTTGCTAAACCTCGGTCAGAATTGCCACAGATAAAAGATAAGATTATTTATGGTAAAAATGGTACAAAAGAACAAAATAATTTATATTTGAATAACTTGATCAGCAAAACGATAGAAATGCAAGAATTAATTAACCACAAATTAACTCAATACATTGATGATGTCAAGATTTGATAATTTATCTAAGAATTATATTCGATATTTATATCTCAATTATTTTGAAAATTGGAAATGTTTATGATTATTCTTTCTTTTTAAAATATATTTATCGATATCATTATGTTACCAACAGTTACAATTATTTGAGGTATTTTGTTCTATTTTTTACGAAAATGTAAAAATAATAATTTTAGTGGTAAAAACCTCTATTATTTTGAGCATATAATATCAGCAGAACATTCTTTAATTATTAAATAAATTTAGAAATCATTAAATATTTAGAATCCCCATCAAATTTGCAGTTTTAGGATGTTTTATCGTAGGAGTTTAGGAAATTTATATGCTTCATAGACTCGGTTTTTAGCAAATTTTAAAACTTAAATCATCTATATCTCGCCCATTCTTAATTTTGAAATACGCTATTGTAAAATAATTTCGGCTTACTATAAAATGTCACAAAAATCCACTTCCGTGCGTCAGAGCTTACTGTAAAAATTTTAGCGCGAAGGTCGATTACAGATAAGATGACTTTGGTAATCCCTTTTATATTCGGCCTCCTCACTTAAGAGGACTTTGGTATCCCTTTTTTAATATTCAGCCGTCTCACTTAAGAGAACTTTAGTATCCCTTTTTTTATATTCAGCCGTCTCACTTAAGAGGACTTTGGTATCCCTTTTTTTATTCAGTCGCCTCACTTAAGAGGACTTTGAATCCCTTTTTTATATTCAGCCGCCTCACTTAAGAGGACTTTAGTAATTCTTTTAACCCTTCCCGCAATAATATATAAAGTTGACACACAATTTAAAGTGAGATAATTTGTTTATTTATACTATTTTCTCTTGCAGATATATTTCCAAAAAAGAACAAGTTTTTATATGCGACAAAATAATTATTTTAAACAATATAATGATCTTTTATATCTTGCACATTTTGAAAAACAAATATAAATTTATTAATATTCTTCTCTAATTATAAAAATAAAATATTTTAGTATTGTTAATGATGACCTGACAAAGTAACAAAAAATAACAATGAGTTCGCAAAATTAGCTTCCCCCATATGGCACACCATCATGTTTTGAACAATTCGAACGGTAATTAACCTTGAGTATCCTCTCTTTGTTCGCTGGTAATTACTAATCTACTTATCATTATTATCTATCGCACAGGTGTTGAGTCAATCCATATCTGATTCTTGTTTTAGTTGTCACATTCGATTTTCATCGATTATATTGAGTAATTAAGATAAATTTTCCACCATCTTTACAGAATTTCAAATCATTAATTCATCCTATTCGATAATCTCCCAAGCTCCACCCCCCTTTTCAACTGATCCCGATGCCATATTCCCTCTCGTCGGTCGTCGGTGAATTTTACTAGATTTCATTTGTGTCCAATGTTTTCCATGATCACCCCGGATTCCCGAATTCAGGCGTCTCACTTATCTCCTTCACCACTTGATTCGGTTTCTGCTTTAATTAATCCAATAATATCCAGGTTCGGCTCCCTAAAAAATTTTCTGTCAGAGATTATTCTTTTCCCTTTCAACTGTTGTTGTAATATGCCAATGCTATATAAATTTCCCCTCTTCCATACTTTGATTTTCTTAACCAGTTTTTGACAACCACCACCATCCTCTCCTCCTGACCATTCGAACTCGGGTGATACGACGGCTCCAAAATGTGTCTCGCCTCTGTTTCAGCACAAAACAACCTGAACTGTCTATTTATGAGACTTGACCACTACTATCTTTGTCACTCCGAACCGGGCCCAAAGATTTTTAACGTATATCACCACCTGAGTTGTCAATCCCCTCACTTCTTCGTACTCTAACCATTTGTAATAGGCTTCCACCACGAATATATATATTTTGTTTTCAAAGTCAAAGAAATCAACGTGTATGCTCCTATGGCTGTGTCGACTATATATGTTTCTTGTCCTTATGCAGCATACTCGCCCATGAATTACATATCAAACAACTCCAACACATAATCCCAGGCTACCACACATATTTACGACCCCACTGCTTCATCATTTCAACTCCTTGAAATTTCGCCTAATTCATTGCTTTTACCGCCTCCCTTAATTTGAACCGCAAGGCACTACTCGATTTCCTCATACCACGCACTCGTCCAATATCGTTAACTCTTTCTCTACATGTTTAAATTTTTTATCTCCATCTCGCCATTGCTTTCGACCCAATATGTACGCTTTAATCCGCGTTAATTCGTGATCTTTTAGCGTAGCCTTTTTGAGTTCTTCCGTTACTGGTCCACCTCTAGATATTCTCGCAACTATACGAATCATCCTCTGCTCAATTTTCTCATCGAATTCCTTTTGTCCTCTTCCAAATTTTCTCCAGCTCCACGCCGAAACAAAATATCGGGTAAATAGTTTTCTCTTCCTCGCTGATATTTCAGCTGCACGTCTAAGCTTTCCACCATTAATAACCATCTCTGTAACCTTGACGACAACATCAACTCTTTATTATCCTTTTTGAACAAGTGTACCAGCGGTTTGTGATCGGTATATATCACAAATCTACGTCCGATCAGATATTTTCGACACTTTGTCAGTCCAAAAATGAGAGCCATCGCTTCTTGCTCGATAACTGAATATCTTGTTTCAGCCGCTCTAAATATTCGCGGGATAAATAATACGGGCTTTTCCAACTAATCTACACGCTGTAATATCGCTTCCCCTACACCTCTATTAGAAGCATCCACGCTCAAAACCACCTCCAGATCGTTGTTAAAGCATATCAGAATAGGTTCCCTTCCAATTCGGCATTTCAATTCTTCAAACGCTTTTTCCTGTTCCTTTTCCCATTCAAATCGTTATCCTTTTTTCAATAATTTATACAATGGCGATGATATCTGCGCAAAACCTTCCACAAACCGGTAATACCATCCCTTGAGAGGCCTGCATCTCTACTTTGTAATTCGGTCTCAAATACTGGTTATTCCTGCCATATTTTTATCCAGTGACCTCACCTCTATACCATTAATCTTGTTTCCTAGATACACCACATCCGTTACTTCCAACATACACTTCTCGGCACTCGTCCTCAATCCTTTTCCTTTAATTCTTCGGAAATGCTGGTCAGGAGTCACTCCCGTTACCAACACATCGTCCATGTAGTAAAAGACTCCTTCTAGACTTTGAAAAATGGCCCATAGTTCGTTGAAAAATTAAGGCCGATAAGTCCAAAAACATACAAAAAGTGTACAACCATTTCGGCGTAGTAATAGTTAATAACTTTCGCATTTCATGCTTCATCCGTAACTGTAAATAAGCATTTGAAACATATATCCCGTCCTTCAAACTGGCCAATATCTCTTCAATTCGTGGCAAGGTATATTTCACTTTCACAACCCACAGGTTTAGCGTAACCCGGAAATCAGCGCACAAACGGAGTTTTCCGTTCATTCTTCACCGGCACCGACGATGTTGTCCACTCACTATATTCCACAAGACATATAATTCTCTTCTTTACCCATGGATCCAATTCTATATTCACTACTTTTCCCCACTCGAACGGTACTTGTCGTAATCTTTCAAATTTTGGCACACCAGCCCTTCTTCATTTTAATACTTCATAATCTCTTAGACACCCCAAACCTTCATCGAAAATTTCTTGATAATTATCCACTAATCTTTTCACTCCTTCTTGCACTTTGATTATTCCTAATTCCATCTATTTATTCCGCAACTCCTTTTCGTTACGCCGATCCATTTCTTTCATTTCTATCTCAACTCCTCGAATACGCGCTTTTCTTCCACCTTTTTGTTCCATTTCCTAGGTCTCCATCGTCTAATCCTCTGGCAACTATTTCATTTAAAGAATTTCCATCGTATTCTCCCAGTTTTCTTCCCTTAAAGTCCCCCTATAAAAATTCTCCTCAATTACCCGACTCAATGTTCGCCCGATTTCTTCCCTAGAATTCTCCGATTTCTCTCTTAGAATTCTCCCCGATTTTTCCCCTAGGCTCAATTTCCCCCCCTAAAAGTCCCTCCGATCTTTCCCCACCCCCTTTCTCTCCAGGAATACCTCCTGATTTCTACCCTAGAATACCCCCGATTTCTCCCCTAGAATTCTCCTTAATTTCCCCCCTAAAAGTACCTCCGATTTCTCTTAATTCTCCCAGATTTTTTCCCTGGACTCAATTTCCCCCATAGAACTTCCCCGATTTCTCTCCTAGAATACTCTCCGATTTCTCCCCTAGAATTCTCCTCAATTCCCCCCCCTTAAAAAAGTCTCCCCGGTTTTCCCGATACATTCCCCCCCCCCTATACAATTCTCAATTTTCTCTTATAATTAAAAAAACCTCAGGTCCCTTTCCCTCTTCCAAATTACGGCCAAACATAGTTTCGGCCATCTTTCTGAGCTCCAATACGTCGTATTATTGCACCTATCTCTATTCTTAAGAGGTACAAATATACCACACCAAGCAAATAAACAACCAAAAACTATACTCCGGAGCCAAAAGCGTGATCTCATCCCATCCTAACACCACCTCTACTTTACGATTGATAATCCATAATTCCGATATTTTTCCTTTCATTGTCGCTTTTAACTCTGCGATCCATCAAATAGCCCAATCCTAATTTCTTCTCTTTCGATAATTTCAGCCTGCCAAATATCCGATATTTATCCTCACTAATATTGCCGCTCCAGTATCAAATAACATGGATACCATACTCCCATTTAGCCTTTTGCAGTTTGATTTCACCTAATTTTTTTATAAAAACTTGAGGGAATTTTGAAGCAATCGTATTTAAAGAGGGAACTTTCATATTTATTTTATTAATACGAACTTCTTCCGGTAGTTTTATATCAAATTCTCTAATGAAAGGCAACCCAAAAATAAGGGAATTCTCCCCTTTAACTACCCAAATAAGTAAAAATTTCGAAATATTTTATACTTTGACTTCCACGGTACATTTACCTAGTACTTCGATTTGGATATGATTATATCCCACTAATTTATAAGCCGGTGATAGTTGTGGTCTGCCAATACGATTCCAGGTGACCTCATCAATCACACTACACGCGGCGCCGGTATCAAACTCCATAGCTAGCTGCAACCCATTTATCTTCGCATCGATGGTTGCTTTATTTGAAAATGACAGGCGAGGTGTCCGTGGCAGAATCATTTGTATGGCATGGGTTCTACAATCTTTCGCTATGTGGTTTGCCTTACCGCAACGAAAGCATATCACTTTCTTTTGAATAGAGTTAGGTTTGATACTATGTCTATAATTATTATTAGGAATATAATTGTTACTAAAGTGTTTATTATTATTGAATCTATTGACGTTTGTATAATTATTATTTCTAAAATAATTATTTTTCGAACCCTGTGTTGGCTTATTTTTAATTATTTTATTAACTTCAGTCTGGGTTTCATTTTCCAACGAAGACAGCGCGATCGCTAAACGCACAGTCTCTTCAAACGTAATATTGCCTTCGATATACTTTGACCGAAGTTCTTTGTCCAACTCAGGTAAGCCTACTCCTAGGATAAATATATCTCTTAAAAGTTCATCAAAAGGCGGTTTAAAATTACAAAGAGTACAGACAGTTTTAACCCTAATTGAAAAGTCAATAATCGTCTCATTACATCTTTTTAGCGTAAAAAAAATTTTCCTTTTTACGAAAATGCTCGAACTATCCTTGAACACCAAATTTAAGCTTTTTATTAAAGTATCATAATTTATCATCTCTAAATTTATTGGAGAGTGAAAGTTCTTAATTTTGATAAGATTGTCTCGATATAGGCTAAAAGCAGGTCTTTTTTTGTATTTAAATCTATAATATTTCTTACTTTATAAATTAACTTCAAGTTAAATAAGTAGTTCTGAATATTTACTTTTTCTTTGACGAATTCTGGAATATAGAATTTAATAGGAACTACTTCCATTGAGTCTTTAACTTTAATAGGGACTACTTCCATTGAATCTTCAACTTTAATAGGAGCTACTTCCATTGAGTCTTTTACTTTAAATTTAATAAATCAAATAAATCTTCTCTAAAAATCGTCGCCAATGAAGTGTTTTATTAAATAAGTAAAGTAAGTAAAAGTATATTTAATACAAAATATCACGTATATATATATCATGAATTCAATCCTTCAGGTTATGTAATTTACAAACGAAAAGTTAATATTATATTCAATTTAAATTCAATTTACAATTACATTTATATTATATAGTGTAATGTAATACAATATAAAATTAAAATAATAATATAATACAAATATAATATAATATGATACTAATTATAATTTTAATATTATAATATAATAAAATACTAACATATAATATAGTCTAATACAATATAATAAAATACTAACATATAATATAGTCTAATACAATATAAAATATATAATAATAATATAATACTAATATAATATAATTTGATACTAATAATGTAATACACTATAATAAATATAATAATATATAATACTAATATAATTAAAATATAATGATATTATAATAATATATATAATTATAATATAATGATATTATAATATGAAAAAATACTAATATATAATATAATATAAAAATAATATAATCTAATATAATATAATACTAATATGTAATACAGTATAATATTAATATAACGTTATATTATAATATAATAAAAATCGTAATATAAGTCTAATATAATATAAAATATATATAATAATATAATATAAAATGTATAATAATAATATAATATAAAATATATAATAATAGTAAATGTAATATAAAATATGTAATAATAATAAAATAAAATTATAATTAAAAATAAAAATAAAAATAAAATTTTGTTTAATCAGGCGTCCTAGATTTTGACATCCTAATAGTTTATTTTTTAAGGTTTATATTGATTCATAAGTATATGGAACTCACTTTTCTTACTATAAGCTTCATGAATAAATTTTTTTATCTTAGTTAACTTTTACTCCTATAAGTATCTGATATTTTAATATTTTATTTTTTTTAAGGTTTATATTGATTCATAAGTATAAGAAACTCACTTATCTTATTGGAAACTTTATGAATAAATTTTTTTATCGTAGTTAATTTAACTTTTACTCCTATAAATAACTGATATCCTAATATTTTTTTTTAAGGATTATATTCAGAGTTGTACATTCAAAATAAAAAGATCTTTGAAGATCGTAAAATTTGAAGATCTTTTATTTTTTAAAAATTTTGTGTAACGATCTTCAAAGATCTTCATGATATTTATTTTTTTACCCCTTTATTAAAAGCCCAGATGTTTTTCAATTTTATTAATATAATATTTCTTTTATGTTTTATACCTCTCCTCCTGCCTTGATGAAAATTGAAAAACATCTGGGCTTTTAATAAAGGGGTAAAAAAATAAATATCATGAAGATTTTTGAAGATCGTTGATGGCAGCGATCTTCATCGTTACACAAAATTTTTAAAAAATAAAAGATTTTCAAATTTTACGATCTTCAAAGATCTTGCTCAAATTTTTGAGCTAGATCTCGCCAAAAATCTTCAAAGAAGATCTTTTGTACAACTCTGATTATATTGATTCATAAGTATATGAAACTCACTTGTCTTACTGGAAACTCTATGAATAAATTTTTTTATCGTAGTTAATTTAACTTTTACTCCTATAAATATCTGATATCTTAATATTTTATTTTTTTTAAGGATTATATTGATTCATAAGTATATGAAACTCACTTATCTTATTGGTAACTTTATGAATAAATTTTTTTGTCGTAGTTAATTTAACATTTACTCCTATAAATATCTGATATCTTAATATTTTATTTTTTTTAATGTTTATATTGATTCATAAGTATATGAAACTCACTTATCTTATTGGAAACTTTATGAATAAATTTTTTTGTCGTAGTTAATTTAACTTTTACTCCTATAAATAACTGATATCTTAATATTTTATTTTTTTTAAGGATTATATTGATTCATAAGTATATGAAACTCACTTGTCTTACTGGAAACTCTATGAATAAATTTTTTTGTCGTAGTTAATTTAACTTTTACTCCTATAAATATCTGATATCTTAATATTTTATTTTTTAAGGTTTTGTATACTTAGGTCTTTGTAAAAAAAAGTACTAATATTTATTATAATATCGGATTAAATAAATATAATAAAAAACAAAAGTAATAATGTACAATATAATATATACGTATATTTTTGTAAAATATAAAAAAGTAGTATATTTTAAAATACAATTTAATATATACGTATATTTTTGTAAAATATAAAAAAGTAGTAATATTTTAAAATACAATTTAATATATGCGTATATTTTTGTAAAATATAAAAAAGTAGTAATATTTTAAAATACAATTTAATATATACGTATAATTTTATAAAAAAGTAGTAATATTTATTATATTATCGGATTAAATAAATATAATAAAAAAACAAAAGTAATAATGTACAATTTAATAAGTATAATTTTGTAAAAATATAAGAAAGTACTAATATTTATTATATTATCGTATTAAATAAAATAATTAAAAAAACAAAATTAATAATGTACAATTAAATATATAAGTAAAATTTAATCAGAATAACTTGAATATATATTATTTGATTGAAAATTTACCAAAAATGATATTTTGTCTAAAAAGGAAAACAAATTTAAGATTACTCTATCATACCATACATAGTCGTTAGATTGTCTATGTTATGATTTAATCTTTCATAAGTCCGATTTGCTCGCCGAACAATCGATCCATTATGAATTTGTAAGAGTTTAATATCGTTCGAATTTTGATTTTCGATCAATATTTTTATAAGAACGTACACATTCGGATGTGCACTGCTGGTTTTCCTTTTTAGAGCATGATGGAACCCCTCGAGGTGGTCATTTGTGCGGGGTCCATCTACATGATCAGGGTTGCCATGCCTCCCCCCATCAGTGGGAGTCTCCCACAATTTTTTAGTTTACCCACATACATCTCACTCCCACAAAACTCCCACAATTAGAAATCTCCCACAATCTCCCACAAAAATCTCCCACAATTTTTTAATTTCTCCCACAATTTTTTTTTTAGCATTTTAATGTTTTTAATATATAAATAATAATTTTGAGAGACAGTATTTGATTATTTTTATATTTATAAAATAAATTTTAAATATTTATTCGAAAAATATGTCTAGTTCTTTTATTTTATTTTTCCGCTAATTTTAAATTCTCCATCCAATCCATTCGACATTTTCAAAATTTGAAGTTAGAATAGTATGGGAAACTAGTGCTTTTTTATATTTTTATTTATATATATACCATGATAGTTATCTTCTAGGTGAGATTTAGATTGTTTTGAGGTTAAAGCACTAGTTTCCAATACTGATGTTGTTTTTTGGACAATAAAATGTTATAATTAAATATATAAAAAGAAAAATTATTTTCAATATAAATTGCTTATGTACTATTATATATTAAAAAATATATTATTAATATTAGAAGTAATATTTTTAAAAATTAGCAATGAAAGTGGAACCCATCTTAGAAAATATTATTATCCTAATCATCTTTAATCTAAGCTTAAAAAATCCTAAATATTATACATATTTTATATTTTTATTTATATATACCATGATAGTTATCTTCTAGGTGAGATTTAGATTGTTTTGAGGTTAAAGCATTAGTTTCCAATACTGATGTTGTTTTTTGGACAATAAAGTTATAATTAAATATATAAAAAGAAAAATTATTTTCAATATAAACTGCTTATGTACTATTATATATTAAAAAATATATTATTAATATTAGAAGTAATATTTTTAAAAATTAGCAATGAAAGTGGAACTCATCTTAGAAAATATTATTATCTTAATCATCTTTAATCTAAGCTTAAGATATCCTAAGAGGCCGAGTTAATGGTTAAACAAAATTATAAAATGTCATGCCAGGATTTTTATAAATATCTTAATAACGACGGTAAACGTTTAGTTCCATTATTTAAATCTCATATAAAATATAATTAACTATAACTATTTGACTTTCTATATTTTATAAAATCTTATTTATACATTTGCATAAAATCAAATAAATTTATTTTTTACATTGTAAAATTAATATTTTGAGTATTTTGGCAAATCATAAAAATAAAGAAGCATTACAATCTCCTCAAACATGACATCATATTAAATCTTATTAATAATTATCCGATAATAGTAATATTCTTACTTTGGTATTTCTGCAGCATAATTTAGTGAGCCTTTATCAGGGCCGTAGCCAGGAATTTTCACTTAGAGGGGCCAAGTGCTTACTTGAGGGGGCCACTATTTTTTTAAAATCAAACAAATAATTACACATTCATAGAAATTTTTTCCTATTTTTATTAAAAATTTAATAACAAAATAATACTATAATATGAATATACAAAACAAAATAATACTATAATATGCATATACCAAAATATTACTATAATAGAATACAGCGATTTTTATTTTTAAATTTTAATATAAATGAACTAAAAGATAAATTCTGCGTTATTCTTTTTTCATACGCCATTAATACTAAATTTTGTTTACGTTTATCCTTCATAGACTCTCTACTGCTTGATAAAATTCTCTTTAATGTAGAGAACGAGGCCTCACAAGAAGCCGTTTATCGCTGCTGAGTAGCATTTATATAATTCTTTAAATGCATGATTATATTTTTTTTTATACATAATATGTAAGATATTTTCAAAATTATGATTTTCTTTAGCTTCCGAAGCTAGCAATCCTTTTGCTATCTTCATTTCATGATGCAGTGTTTACATATTTAAGTTTAAGAGGGATTTTAATGGGGCCATTTTATCTGATAAAAAATAATCAGGGTCAAGGAGGGGGGGGGCAATGTATTAAAAGATGAAAAAAGATTAAAATCATCTTCTGTAAATCGGTCTAATCAGTTTCTGAAATTTCTGATGTAGTAGGGGAGACCGGGGTAAAGCGATTGACGGGGTAACAATGTTAACGCGAATAACTTTTTAACCATCGAGTATAAAGACCTTAAATTTGGTGTGAAGATGTATTTTTATATCTAATTTCTTACCTATGTTCATCTTTTAAAAAACTTACCTGGTTTTATATATTTTGTAGAAAAACTGTTTTTTACCCAAAAAATATAAAAATCATTCTCTAGTATATTTTGCTTTTAGTAAAATTTACATATCCTCAGGATTCAAAATTTGGCACACATGTTCCTTAATGTATTAGCTATAAAATAAAATTTATCTGACATCTTTAGCTATATTAGAAGTCACGCAATAACGATATTTATAATATATGTCACCTAGGGGTAAAGCTGTTATGGGTAAAACGGTTAAAATATAAAATTATTCACATTAATTTTTCATTAATTCATTTATTATAATTTTTATTGTATCAATCAAATAATGAGAAATTATAAAAGAAAAACCATATACAGAGATGTAAATATAATAAATGAAGCCATAAATATAAAATAACAAATAATACTTCATTAAATTTGTCTGCTAAAAAATTTAACATACCTTATACAACGTTGAGAAGGAGATGTAAAATTGGTATTAAAAGTTCAGATCATCATAAACACATATTTACAAATGAAGAAGAATCTAGATTGTGTGACTACATATTAGAAGCAAGTAGGTCATTTATGGGATTAACGCTTAAACAAGTAATTAAATTATATTGTTTGTATTATATTGTATTTCATAATTTTAATAACTCAATTTAAATATCAATATTAATTTGGTAACTTTAATAAAAATGCTCAATTGAAAATATATTGTATTTCATAATTTTAATAATGCTCAATCTAAATATCAATATTAATTTGGTAACTTTAATAAAAATGCTCAATTGAAATTATATTTTATTTCATAATTTTAATAATGCTCAATCTAAATATTATTAATTTGGTAACTTTAATAAAAATGCTCAATTGAAATTATATTGTATTTCATAATTTTAATAATGCTCAATCTAAAAATCATGTGGGGCAACAATTTCAGATTTATGATATTCCAGGAGTGTTAAAAAATGAAATACCAAAGGCAGTGACATCAAATAATATATTAAATGGATTCTTAACATGTGACATATTTCCTTTAAACCCAAATATATTTACAGAACAAGATTATATCTGCTGTAATAATTCAAATGCTTACTCAAATATTGAATTTTAAAATAATGATGAAAATATTACAGTGACTCAAAATCTTACAGTGACTGAAAATAATGATAGTGATTTATCTATATTATTGAACGAAAATGTTCCAGATGATATTGATGAACCTTATCATGATATGTTACCATCATGCTCAAAAAATTATAATAAAGTATTCAATCATTCATCTATAATACCTATTCCAAAATTATTCAATATTTCATCGGATAAAATATCTAAAAAAAAGAATTCAGAAATATTAACATCTACACCTTATAAAAAAAAATTATTAATTCAGAGAAAAAAAAAGATATCAAAAAATAATTGTTTATGTGTTATTTGTAATAAAAACTATAAAAATAGTCGCGAGGGCGATGAATGGCTAAAATGTACAATGTGCCTTGAATGGGCACATTCTAAATGTGCTAATTATGATAATTATTTTACATGTCCTTATTGTATCGATTAGTTTTTAAATAAAAATCATAAATAAATCTTAAATTTGTAATATTTGTTAAATAAAACAATAAATATGTGTCAAATATTATTTTAACCACTTTACCCTAGTGCTTATCCATTTTACCCTGTACCCAGGGTAAAATGGCGAAAATGACTAGTTTTACATAACTAATCATAGCTCCTAAAATATTATAGGTAGAGGGCTACACTTTTTTTATCTTGTAGAAGAGAGATGGGGCTACACATTGATCTATAATTTGTTGTGTTTGACTCTTGTTTAAAATTTTTATTGTAAATATGCAAAATGCCTATCGTTTTACCCCGGTCTCCCCTATTAATAGTAGTTTGTAGAGGTGATGTTGCTTGACATTTGTTTAACTTTAACTTAAAATAAGAGTTAATAACTGATTATTTCTTCATAATTTTAAAATAAACGCTGTAAAATAAAATAACTGGTTATATATTATAATATAAATGTGATACCTATAGAGAATGTTATACACAACAAAAACAAATGAAAAAAAAATGAATGAAGGATAATTTAATATTGGGTAAAAATAAAAATAAAACTGGATAGAAAAATACAAACTAGACATATTTGTAGAATAAATATTCAAAATTTATTTTAAAAATATAAAAATAATCAATTCTAAATAGACATGTTTTTTGAATATTTTTGAATAAATATTCAAAATTTATATTAAAAATATAAAAATAATCAATTCTAAAAAAAATTTTTAAATTTGGGGGGCCAGAAAAATTTTTGGGGGGCCACTTTTGGGGGCCAAAGATTTTTTCTGGGGGCCAGGTTTGGGGGCCAAAAAATTTTTTGGGGGGCCGGGCCCCCCGTGGCTACGGCCCTGGCTTTTATTAAATTATATTCTTCTGATTGCAACTGCATATTAACAGCATATAGTAGATTTCCTATATGTAAAATTCCTAAATATACTTCTGCCATTTATTTTTGAAAATTATTTTCAAATAGGACAGCTTTTATAATCTATTTATTTTTTAAAGGTTTGTATTTTAAAATTCTACGATGGCGCGTATTAGGAGGAACCTGTCAGCCAACATTATGCTGACTCAATTCTGTAAATACACTCTGGTTTTTGCCAAATTCACTGAGGAATTATCAGATCAGAAAGCTACCATGCAATTCATTGGTAATGCCAAATCTGCCATATTTACCATTATATATGGTTAGCTATGTCTTTGGATATTTCATATCTGGAGAAATTTTTTTTAATAGTTTTATTAAAATGACATTAATTTTGTTGAAATAGGGGAGGATCAAGGGAAATGTTTTGATATCTCCTTATTAGATGCATCTGTTAGAATTGCATATGTTTGCACATCTTTCAAATCGTCAAGAATTGACCTTCTGGATTTATATCCTAAAACATTGTTGATAGCCTTGCTCATTTTGTGTTCTACAAAGTATTCTATTCATTTATATTAGTCGTTAAATATTATGGGGAAAGATTCTACCAACATTGAGATGTTGAGTAACTCTCTGAATGTTGTACTGCATGATAGGTATTTACAATTTCCGCAACTGTAGTTGCATCTATATTTTTTCTTATTTTTGAAGAATATTTTTGTTTTGAAATAGATGTTGATAGAATGCCCTGTACTGATTTATGCTTTGAAGATTTTTGATACCTCAAAATATCATATTCCCTTCCCCCATTTATTTTTTTACATTGTAAAATTACAATTTTTATAAAATTTTATCTTGTTTACATTCTTTTGTATTTAAAAAAGATCGTTGGTTATTATTTTTAAACAAAATTAATATATTATAATAAATCAATATGTTTTTTTAATAATAAAGATAGTACTCTAAGAAATTTTGTGTCGTACAGTAATTACCTATTTTGAAAAATAGTTGGGTATTTTATTTTGGAAAATAGTTAACTATTTTATTTTGAAAAAGAGTTGGATATTTTATTTTGAAAAATAGTTAGGCTATTTTATTTTGAAAAAGAGTTGGATATTTTATTTTGAAAAATAGTTGGCTATTTTATTTTGAAAAATAGTTGGCTATTTTATTTTGAAAAATAGTTGGCTATTTTATTTTGAAAAATAGTTGGCTATTTTATTTTGAAAAAAAGTTAGCAATTTTATTTTTAAAAAAGTTAGCTATTTTATTTTGAAAAATAATTACCTATTTTATTTTGGAAAATAGATTAGATTTTATATTTATAAAAAATAATAAGTGGATAACTAAGTCAATTCTAAATCCCGAGGCCTGCAAAAAAAATTTTTTTAGCAATTTCTCCCACAATTTTTATATTTCTCCCACAAAATACCTAATTTCTCCCACAATTTGAAAATTTTGACCTGGCAACCCTGTACATGATACCTAATATAAATATTGAAAAATATTAGAATAATTGAATACTATTATTTTAAGTTTTTATACCTTGTTCATATAGTATAATTTATTGTGATAATTTACCTCTTGTATGTACTTGAGGAAATCGTAGGGTCCTTATATTGAATGTAAAATAATATAAGTTTTTTTCATATAATTTTTAAAATACATTGTAAAGGAATTGTAACACTTGGCAGATTTGCATCTTTAAAAATAAATAAAATAAATGATTAAAAAATTTATTGTGATAATTTACCTCTTGTAGGTAAAATATATTTTAAAGGGATTGGAACACTTGGCATAGTAACCGGCATAGTTGCAACTTTAAAAATAAATGATTAAAAAATTTATTATGATAATTTACCTCTTGTAGGTAAAATACATTGTAAAGGGATTGGAACACTTAGCATAGTAACCGACATAGTTGCAACTTTAAAAATAAATGATTAAAAAATTTATTGTGATAATTTACCTCTTGTAGGTACTTGAGGAAATCGTAGGATCCTTATATTGGCTGTAAAATAATATAAGTTTTTTCATAGAATTTTTAAAATACATTGTAAAGGAATTGTAACATTTGGCACATTTGCATCTTTAAAAATAAATGATTAAAAAATTTATTGTGATAATTTACCTCTTGTAGGTAAAATACATTGTAAAGGGATTGGAACACTTGGCATAGTAACCGGCATAGTTGCAACTTTAAAAATAAATGATTAAAAAATTTATTGTGATAATTTACCTCTTGTTTGTAGGTAAAATACATTGTAAAGGGATTGGAACACTTGGCATAGTAACTGGCAGAGTTGCATCTTTAAAAATAAATGATTAAAAAATTTATTGTGATAATTTACCTCTTGTACATTGTAAAGGAATAGGGACTGTTGGCTGTTGCATCTTTAAAGATAAATAATAAAAAAATGAAAGTAATAATATTGTATTGGAGAATATATATTCTTACATTTACAAGTGTGGATATGTTGTTTTGTAACAACAACATCTACAAAGGAAAGCTTTGCACGACCCCCACAGTTACCTCTGCACTTTAGGTAAATGTAATTTGGTCCATTCCCCTTTATTAAATATTCATAGTCATAGCCCAAATAAACAATTACATCATTGTTTTTTTGGGTTTTCTAATAAAAATATACAAAAGAATAATAATGGCTAATTACTTTAAATAGAATATTTTGTATTCTGGAATAATCTTGTAAATTCATTTGACTATTTTTTTCATGTGAATGTTGTTAATAATTAATTTGTGAAATGGTTGAGTGCATATCATGAATATTTCCATGATCTTGATGATTAAAAATTAGAGTAGTTAAAGATTCTGTTATCAAATCATTTGTATTGTGTACAGGTTGGTGTTGAAGAATTATTGGTGATTAAAATGTTAAAAATTTTAAGATGCTTATAAATCTGTTAGTTGGCTAGTGTAGTGATCCTTATTGATTTACAATCTTCATATTTAATATATTTTATATTTTCAATAGAATAATTATAATGGATTTTTTGATATTGGATAGTTAATTATGTGATAACGGAGTATTCTTATAGTTAGTATTTATTAATCTTAATAATAATATTGTATCCATGTATTTGGCAAAATTATAAAAATAGTAAAGATAGAAAAACTTAAAATTAATGCAGGATCTATGAGAAAATGTTGAAAAAGAATACTAATTTTTTAAAGCAGAAGTATAAATAATGCCTGTATCCTATGTTAAGAGATATTCTTTTGAAAATAAAGTATTTAGATATAAACATAAGAATCTTATTAAAAATGATACTAGATACAAGTATTCATAATAGGCCTAATTGGACTGACAAATTTCTGGAAAAATTTAGCTTTCAAAAAATTCAAAGATATTAAATTTTTGAGCAAGTATAAAATAAAAAAAATAAACTTCTTGATAACAAAGTTTTTATGGTACTTTGAACAAATTATTAATTACTCCATAATTGAGCTTCTAGAAGTTCCACTATCTTAACATGCAATGTTATATCTTATATTCTCATAATTCACCATAAAGCAAGGAATAATTGAAAGGATATTCAATTTAATTTCAATAAATAAGGGCAAATTGATATAATTTAGCATTTGTTTTTTTAAAATTAATAATAAATATTAAATTAGTAATAAAATTGAGATCATAATATTAAAAAAATTACAAATATTAGACAATAATATATTATTGTAAAAAAATTTGATACTGTATAAATACCATAAAAAACTCAAAATCATAATTATATGAATTTAATTTGCATACTTAATTACTACAATTAGTTACATGATTCAATAGTTCTAAATAAAAGATGCTTTATAAAATGTAATGGAATTATTTATTTATAGAGTAAAACATATAGTCTAATGGCTATTTACTTTAAATTGAGTCCATTATTTAAATTTAGGCGGCCATTTTTTTGAGGACGTTATTGGATGTTTTGGCTATTTTAAGCTCGGCGATTTGGTGGTTATACGCCCGACCCGACCTGGCCGGAATTTTTTTAAAAAATATTTGACCTAACCCAGCCCGAACCCGATTTTATTAAAAAAATAGGCCCGGCCCGAAGCCTGTTCGGAATATTGCAGATCTCTAATGTATTATACAATAACACTCTCGTTTGAACAGTTATAATTATAAATTTGATGAAAATATTTTACTTTTTTTTAAATAATAAAAAACACATTTGTTTTTAATTATAATGTTAAAAATTTGTATCGTTTCCTAATATCAAAAAAATATTCGTAATAACATCATCATCGCTTCAATCGTATATTTAACCATATTATAACTGAAACAGAATATAAAATAAAACAATATAATACATAAACAAAGTGTTACGTCATGCATGTATAAATAATAAAAATAAATTATATTGTAAATTTATAATTTGTAAAAAAAAATAGCAAAGTCACATGATGCATTTTTTTAATATTTTTGAAGTTGTTTATTAATTATTATTTTTTAGTTATTTATTTAGATAATTTTTTTTAAGAAAATAATAATTTTAAAAATAAAATTAAGCTTACTTATATTTTTGAAGTTAAGTTTATTATATAATTATTTTTTTATAAAAAGTGTAAATTGAAGATTTTATATATCGTCGGTCTAGAATTGGAATGTTCCACTCGAAATTTTCATAATTTTTGAGTTAGAAGTGGATAATAACTTAGTTATTCCCAATATATATCTATATTATAATTTTCCGATGTCCTCACTACGTCATCGTGACGTCATGTCATCGCTACGTCATGTCATTGCTACGTCATGTCATCGCTACGTCATGTCATCGTTACGTCATGTCATCGGTACGTATTTATTTATTTATTTTTTATTTGTTATATTTTTTTAAACAGATGTTCATACCAAATTCTGAAATCAGAAGAAGTAATTTATTTGTTGATTTTTTATGAGACTATCATTTTCCTTGACTGAAATCGGAGTGCCAGATACCAATTTTTAGAGATTATCATTTTATTTGAATTCCTGAAATCAGAAGAAGTAATTTATTTGTTCATTTTTTATGATCATATCTATTTTTAGCTTATGATGGATGATATTCCCACTATTTCTAGAGATTGACTCTATTTTTTATTTATTCTTTTGTTTTTATTTTAGATCATGTTCATTGAATTTATATTCTTTATATTATTCTTTGTTTTTATTTTAGATAACAAGCCCTGTCTTACCCATATTTAATGATTGTACAGGTGGTATATTGACTCCTCATCAAGTTCAATGCATTTATTTATTTTATTTATTCTTTTGTTTCTATTTTAGATAACAAGCCATGTCTTACCCATATTTAATGATTGTACAGGTGGTATATTGACTCTTCATCAAGTTCAATGCATTTATTTTTTTTATTTATTCTTTTGTTTCTATTTTAGATAACAAGCCATGTCCTAACCTCAGTTAATGATTGTATTCCCACTATTTCTAAAAAGGTTAACCTAATATTGACTCTATTTTTTATTTATTTTTTTGTTTTTATTTTAGATCATGTTCATTGCATTTATATTCTTTATATTATTCTTTGTTTTATTTTAGATAACAAGCCCTGTCATACCCATATTTAATGATTGTACAGGTGGTATATTGACTCCTCATCAAGTTCAATGCATTTATTTTTTTTATTTATTCTTTTGTTTCTATTTTAGATAACAAGCCATGTCCTAACCTCAGTTAATGATTGTATTCCCACTATTTCTAGAGAGGTTAACCTAATATTGACTCTATTTTTTATTTTTTCTTTTGTTTTTATTTTAGATCATGTTCATTGCATTTATATTCTTTATAGTATTCTTTGTTTTTATTTTAGATAACAAGCCTTGTCTTACCCATATTTAATGATTGTACAGGTGGTATATTGACTCCTCATCAAGTTCAATGCATTTATTTTTTTTATTTATTCTTTTGTTTCTATTTTAGATAACAAGCCATGTCTTTCCCATATTTAATGATTGTACAAGTGGTATATTGACTCCTCATCAAGTTCAATGCATTTATTTTTTTTATTTATTCTTTTGTTTCTATTTTAGATAACAAGCCATGTCCTAACCTCAGTTAATGATTGTATTCCCACTATTTCTAGAGAGGTTAACCTAATATTGACTCTATTTTTTATTTATTCTTTTGTTTTTATTTTAGATCATGTTCATTGCATTTATATTCTTTATATTATTCTTTGTTTTTATTTTAGATAACAAGCCCTGTCTTACCCATATTTAATCATTGTACAGGTTAATATTGACTCCTCATCAAGTTCAATGCATTTATTTTTTTTATTTATTCTTTTGTTTCTATTTTAGATAACAAGCCATGTCCTAACCTCAGTTAATGATTGTATTCCCACTATTTCTAGAGAGGTTAACCTAATATTGACTATTTTTTATTTATTCTTTTGTTTTTATTTTAGATCATGTTCATTGCATTTATATTCTTTATATTATTCTTTGTTTCTATTTTAGATAACAAGCCATGTCCTAATCTCAGTTAATGATTGTACAGGTGGTGATTTATCCTTCATTAATAAAAGAAAAAGATGGCAGATCAATCAAAAAAAGAAACGCACTAGGGATAGCGAGGCCCTACAAAATCTACTAACAACTCAGAATAAAACCTTATTCCCTCACATTGCTACAAAACATGATCATTCTATTATTAAAGATAAGCAAAGAAAATAATGACGAATAAACAAACGCCTTACCCGTTCTAGAGTTACTGGTAGACAAAATAATAAAGAACTACGCTTGAAATGAACTCATCTGGAGGTTTTTTTTTATCTTATGTTTTATATCTATGTTTATTTTATTTTCACCCAGTTCTCCAAATGATATTTCTATCACCACTATCACAATCCCTATGCCACCTCCACCTATTTTTTAACAAAAATAAACATTTTTATTTATCACTAAATTTTATTATCTCATTCTTTTCTTTCTATCTCTATTATCTATTAACCACTATATCTCAAAACCTTATCACCTTTAATTTATATAATATAATATAATAATTTATACCTTCTTTTTCCCCCCTTTTTTAATCTAATTTTTTAATTACCTTACAATTAATTAACCTTTATCTTAATAACATTACATTTATCATGTTATTTTTTAACTTTTATAATATCATAATAGACTTGATAAGTCCCCCAAAAATTTTATTTGATGATAGCCCTCCAACTTATTAGAAATATGCATCTAATATTGACCCTTCTACCGGTTTTACATTATTTTAATGTTTGTTTAATTTCAACAATAGTATATTTATATTTTTGCCTGATTTCTTTATTTGTCTAGGCTAACCCTAATCCCTCACATTGCTACCAAACATGATGAATCTATTATTAAAGATAAGCAAAGGAAAAAATGGCGATTCAACAAACGCCTTACCCGTTCTAGAGTTACTGGTGGCCAAGATAATAAGGCACTGTGAACTCCTCTGGAGGTTTATTTTGTTTTTTATCTAATGTTTTATATCTATATGTTTATTTTATACACCCAGTTGCCTCCAAATGATATTTCTATCACCACTACCACAATCCCTATGCCACCTCTGCCTAATTTTTAACAAATATAAGCATTTAATTCCACTATCATTCACCTCATTAGGAGTTATTATAAATAATACTTTATCCGATTCCCTGAGGAACTTTCATGAATATTTAGAGAGATGTTCAAACGTGAATGTGTAGTGCAGCCAATTTCATTAACATTATAAATGGGAAAATATGCAATAGTTTTGTCATGGCCTTTATATAACAATACTTACGACCGTTTTATGGTTGAGTTGACAATGTCGTTCATGATTCTATTTTAGAGGGGTATACCAAAATTGACACTTTGGCAGAAATATCATTTCGCGTTCTTCTCCTCAGCTTTATCAGGATGCAATGGGTGTTGTACACTGCTTTGGTAATCCGTCATTATTCATTACTTTCACCTACAACCCTAAATGGGATGATATTATACATTAATTTTTTCTTCTGCAGACGACTGCCCAGATTTATTTTGTCGCTTTTTCCATCAAAAATTAAAATGTCATAAAGGATTTGCTCTTATTTTTGCCAGACACACTGAGTATTAATTAATCCTCATCATTTTTAAAAAAAAATACCTAAATTTATATGGCAAAAAAAACAAATTTCTTAAAAAATATATAAATAAATTGCATATAAGTTTCATTAGTATTGAAATTTTTGTAATTTAAATAGATAGCATTTTTTTGTACTTAACAAAAGATATAGATAGCCCTTATCAAATTTTTTGATAAAAGGAGTTAACTCACTAATTGGTAAATCCGAGATTTCCCCTTCATGTGTTGATAAATTATTTAGAAATTTAACTATCTCCGGGTTTGGGAAATAGTTTTGAAACTTAATATGTGATGGACTGGGCTTGAAAAATATTCCTCAAGATTAATATTTGCTTGCACCTGACTAGGGAATATCTTATACAAATTATTATGGGCCGGGCTAGGAAAAAATTTTCAAAATTATTATGGGTTGAGCTCGATTTGAGAAATTTTTTTATAAATTATAAGGTCTTGAACGCGTGGAAATTTTTTTCAAATATTATGAGCTTGGACCTGGCTTGAAATTTTTTAATGTTAAATGTTAGTCTTATGTAACCAGTAATATATTTACAAAGAATTTTGGTATTGGGTACAAGCTCATTTAAATATATTTTGACTCAAATAATAGTTTCCATTCTTAGTCCTAATGGGTTGGACTCAATGACATTGCTTGGACTTGACCTAAATGGGGAGGGGGGGATTTAAAAATTATATAAATTGGATATGATTTTTAAATAAAAGGTAACATCTTTCTTAAAAAAACGAATAAAATTCTCATTCTCCGTAATTTTTGACGGGCTATCTACTAGTATAAATAAAAACTTGATCAAAAAATATTAATTTTTCACAAAGTTATTGCAAAATTAATCAATAACATTTTCCTATATTTTATTTTAAACTTTAATGTTGATTTTCTCATTTTATACATTTGCTCAAGTGAAATATAATTTATTTTTACCTCAACAATGGGTTTATTTTTAATTTAATCAACATGTTTATTAAATCGTCACAACAACATGACCCGCGTTTGAACTGAGTCTGAACACCAGGCCCAGAGCTGGTTTGGTCGATTTTTTAGACCAAAACCCCGGGTTTGGGTTTTTCACAACCAATTAATTAGTATAACTACAGCTAAGACATAATATTTTGACCTTAAATAAGCAAATCTACTAACTTTTATGTCACCATGAGTCTCTTTGAAATTAGAATATAATTCTGTAAGATTCCATAAAATGAGTCTTTTCTGCAAATGACACTACTTCTCTCATTTAACCTTTATTGATATAAAATGGTTTATACGAGGCATTTTACGCAGGGGGCGCTAGCCTTTACAATTTCAGGGGGCTCAACTAAAAAAAATTATGGGGGTTCTTCCTATACCCCCTAATTTGCGGGCCTTCGGTCGGATTTTATATTAATATATAATACATTTTTACGATTTGCTAACTTGGAAAAATTATTCTGAATTTCATATTTTATCATTTATCATATTATGCATACAAAATAAACTAGCATATAAATAATTAAAACAATACAAGACTTTTTTAAATATAATATTTTTTAATAGAAAATATATTTATTACAGTATAAAATATTTTCACTGATATAAAAAAAATTGCGTTTAAAGATTTACAAGTGATAAAAAAGTTAATTAATTCATGGATTTTAAAAATCACATAAGGTAATATAATTCTTAGCAACTTTCATTGACAAAAGGTCATGAAACTAATATAAATTGTTACCATTTTACACAATGTTTTATAGAATGGAGCAATAAGGTAAAATTTATAAGCCTAACCAAATTAACAATTCTTGAAGAAGAGAATATAAACGACCAATTCAAATCATAAAACTATATGATGTTTAGAGCTTCATTTTAGATGACATGATGGTAGCTAGATAATTAATTGAGAAAAATATTGTGAAATATTATATTTCTAGAAAATTATCTTCCATTTCTAATGATATATAAAGGCATAGGAGTAGCCAGGGAAGGGGGCAAAAGGAAATTTTCACCCCTTCAGGAATTTATCCCTTTTTGTGAATATCATTTTATGCTAATAAAAAATATCCCCTTAGTCCTCTTCCCACTCCTGACCAGCAAAAATGTATGCATATATCTTAAACAATAATTTGAAAGAAAGAATGTAAAAGTTGATATTTTTTTATAAAACTATTCATCATAATTTATACATTTTTGGAAAAAAGCATTTATATAAAAAAAGGGAACCAAAAATGTTTTTATATAATGGAATATAAGCCAAAGATAAGTCTTAAGACAAATGTGAAATGTATTATAATTATTAATAATAGATCCATAAAAAAACTAAATAATATACAAATATAATTTTTATAAAGTGAGTAATTTTAATTTATTTATCTTAATAAAAGTAAAATATAATTATAAAACTATTGATAAAATTAAATACAAAAATTAAAGCACAATATTACAGAAAACTATAAAATATTGATAAAATCATCAGAAAATATCTTTTAAAGACATTGTGGGATGAATAATATAGAGATTAATTTTTAATATCATTTTTTATTTAAAAAAATAGATGGCGTTAAATAATTAAATGCAAACTGTTGCTATATTTATTATCAAGAGCATTGATTAGTAAAATTTGTTAAATTATTAACTGTAATATATTCTCTATCTGTCAAATATGTCTGTAAAAGTGGAATTTTACCTAGTATTTTATGACTAATTACAATAATAGAGGAATATCAGCTATATGTCTACTTACTTTTTATAAATAAATTTCTTATACTTGTTTGGAATAAATTTATCATTCTTTTATATTAATGTATATACTAGTAATTTATTATATTTTATATAAACTAATAAAATAATATTTCATATTTGTTCCAGGATATTTTTTTTATTAAAAATAACCTCCTATCTTGTAAAAATATTTTATGACTATATATAGACTAAGGAACCTGGCTGAAGGCCGTGCAAAAGCGGGCCGGAATATTTTTAATTCCCCCCCCCCTTAGGAAAATCCTGGCTACGCATATGTATAAACGACTACACAGATAACCATTATTGCTTATCTAAAATATCCTCTCAGCAGCTATAGTAATAATCTTAAATTACATAGCCACATGCAGTCATAGCCATGACACCCACGATGTTAACTCATATCAGAATTTATTATGTTAGATAAATTGATAAAACAAAAACACTAAAAATAATTTAAAGATATTATGCAATTATATTGAAGCCTTGTGTTATTTACATGGATAGGATGCTATATTAGAAATGAAACATTTTGTAACTATAAAATAAGAACCAGAGTGATATAATGAAAGCAATTAAGATTTTATATATTATTGTCGCACCACTTCTAGTTGGTATATTATATCTTAAAATAATAGTAGTTTGTAATAATATCAAAAATATATTCGTAATAAAAATTTATATTCAAAACTGTTTTTCTAAGAAAAAAATAATATTTTTCCTAAAAACACGTAAAAAAAGAGAAGAAAAGATATCTAATATATTACATCCTATTTAGGATAAATAATAAAATGTTTAATTTTTGAATATTTTAAAATAAATAGATGGCGTTAAATAATTGAATTTAAATGTTAGGTTAATGATGCTTACTACCTTAAGGTATTACCTATAAAATTTGTATTTTGTTTACATTTGTATACTATCAAATATATTTATAATATATATTTGAAAAATCATGATTTTTGGAAAACTTCTGTGGCCTACAATAGTCGGCAAGAGCGTTGCTTACCAATCCGATGGTTATGGGTTCGAATCCCAGCAATGATCATATTTTTTTTTTAAATCTAACTTGGTGGTTCCGTCTTTAAATGGTGATATATAAATTGTAAAATCACGATTCGCTCGGTACTGTCTCTGGTAGAAAGCATCATTAACCAAATTGTTACATATATTTATTAACAAAAGCATTTATTGGTAAAATTTATAAAAATATTAATTGTAATATATTATATAACTGTCAAATACGTCTGTAAAAGTGGCATTTTACCTAATATTTTATAATCAATTATATATAATAGAAGATTCTAAACTATATGTTTACTTACTTTTTATAAAGAAATCTCTTATACTTATTTAGACCTTGAAAATACTTTTAGGAAGAGGCATGTTAATTAAATTTAAAAATGATTATTATAGTTGATTAATGATTTTGAACTCGGCTTATTACAATATTAAATTTGTTAATTTTCAATTAAAGAATGATTATATTTATTTAATTAGGGTTATATTATAATTTAAATAATAAAAGTCAATTAAGCTACAACTGTTAATGCTAAATTAATATTTAGTGAGTGATATTGATATTCTATTTTTAACATAGAATTTGATTGCAAGCTGACATCATGAAAATATAATTTATATGTATTAATCTAATCTAATAATTAAAATAGTATTAATTTAATAAAAATTTAGATAGTCTCATTAATTTTAAATAATAAAATTAAATCTACATATTATTTAAAGAATTATAAAATAAAGCGCTCAGGGGGTAATCAAAAAAAATTAATTTTAGTTAAAAATATATTTAGGAGTCATTAAATAAAATTTTCTCGCTTCAGAGGGCTATTCAAATTTTTCAGGGGGCTCGGGCCCTTGCGCGCCCCTACTTAGTGACGCTACTGATTGTACGACTGTTTCCACCAGAATTATAAAGTTTTTCTATCTAAAATATATTTTTGAATAACATTCCTTGAGGAAATGCATTTCACAGAGCTTATCAGCTTATGTGTTCTCCCAAATTGTGCGAATTTTAGGAACGAAGTAAATTATTACAATAATTCACAATAGCTCATACCCTTATTTATTCTTTTATTTAATTATATAGAATAATAAAATATATAAAAGATTTTAGCGTAAATACATTAAAATTAATGATTTATCAATTATTTATTACTAATTTTTACAAATGACTAACGATAACTTGAGCTTGGCCCAACTTGAAGATTAGCATATTTATTAACGAATTTTAAAGCTATTAATAAAAAAAATTTGAGAAAAAAAATATACCTATTTGATTTTATGATCATTTCCGGTGTTCTAATTTTGGTTTTTGACATTTAAATTTTTTTAACATTATATAACTTCAAAGGCATACCATTAAGCTATATAAAAAAATTTAAATGAGGCTGTCAGCTCAATTTTATCCAAGGATATTTAAAATTAAAGGAAGATCATTTTTGATCCAAATGCCTTATTTTTTCGTTATTTGGAGCCCAATATCTCAGCCGCTGTTAAGAGTTGGAAGTTAAATTTTTATTTTTTTCATAGTTATAACATATGCAACCTCTAATAAAAATTTTAGAAAAATTTGAGCAGGTGAGGTTGTAACTCATCTTGATTTGTCATAGAATATAAAAACATTTGATAATAAATATATAATATAATATATATAAAATTATTTTTTGTATTAACATTACATTCTTTAAATACTCACTTTTTTGTACCATTTATTTATCTGAAAAGCTATGTGACATTTGGCAATTATCTATTATATTTTTTATGATAAATGAGTTTTTTACGTTCATTCGATATTCGCTTTTTATAGAAATAGATTTCCCTAATTATTAACAGCTGATTACTCAACTGGTTGAGCATTTTCTTTTGGAAGAATGTAACCTACAAATGAAATGGAATTTTGATGTCTATAGATTCTAATATTCTTAACTCATTCCTTATCATGACTATTCAAGAATAATAAACAAATAAGATATATATGCCTTATATATTTATTTATTTAAATTACAATTACAATATCGGAAAGGGTAAGTTGCACTCATTTAGTAAAATACAACTGGGTACAAGGTTTGTTGGTATCCTTGAGAAAAAAAATCGGCATAATTTTATGAAGGGTGGGCCTTCATAAAATTCACGTTCGCTCATTTTGGGCAGGTCTATGACCAACGTGCTAGATAAGATAAGATAAGATAAATTGATTAAATGGATCCTTTTCAAAATAGCTTGAAGCAATCTGATAGGAAGGAGACCCCTTTAAGACCTCCACTTTCATATCTTAAAGATCAATTGGAGGATATTAATCAAGATGCATTCTCTATAATAAAACTAAATACTCACACCCAAATAACTCCACAAAAATCTTTATTATTGCCCAGAAATCAAATACAGTCTATAAATAATGTTCAATACTCTAAATTGTTATTTGATACATGTAGCAATATGAATCAAGATATGCTGAAAAATGATTTATCATTGGAGGCCTCTAAAAATGGAGATATGTTTTTATGTAAAGAAAATACAAATAATGGGGTATGTAATATCAAACAACCTGCAAAATTACCCAAGAAAGCACCATTGGATCCCAAGTTAATAAATATGAATCCTGGTTTAAATTCATCCTCATTAATCTCAGGTATTGATCAATATTATATAAAATCATTAAAATTAGGCAAATATTTTTTTTATAAAAATCTTATTTATTTGGAATAAATTTGTCATATTTTAATAAATATCTTGTAACAATTAATGTAACTATAAATATACACTCCCGTATCCATATCCAATAGGGGATCTTATTCAAAATTTTTAATATATTTTATTCATTAAAATCTTATGCACATATGAAGGGAAAATTAATTTTTTCATGAGATATGTTAATTAAGGTAAAATAAAAATCAATTTTTTGCAAAAGAGACAAATTATGTAAAGGAATTAGTTTTAAATGATTTTAAAAATAAAAACATATTTTTTTTTGTTATAATTTTTTAAACTTTATTTTATAAACTATTCTTATTTAGTTGGTAGTTATAATTTTTAAGTGTCATGTATTTAAGATACTCTAATTAGGCAAAAGATACAAGTATTTTTTATCTTGTATCTTTATATTTTGAAAAAGATACTAGTATCTGTATCTAAGATTCATTCTTTCTCAAAGAATCTATATCTGTATTTAGATTCTTTTTTTGGAGGACCTTCCCAACTCTGGTTATTGGTGGGAGATAATATATATCAACATGGGTATCAAATTAAAAAGATAAATTATTTATATTGATATTTAACAATATAAGTCATACAGATAGTTGGGGGTGGGGTAATTTTTTTGAACATAGTATCTTGTCATGGGTATCAAATGAAAGCTAATAAAAAAGATAAATTTAGTGTTGTTAAACGGCTTGTTTTGAGTCGATTTTTAAAAACGGCTGACTCAATACTTCACTTAGAAAAATATTACGCAAGCCTGAAGATTTTGCTCATAGAAGGAACAGAGGTCCATATATATAATATCGAAATCTCAAGGCTTAGGCTATATTTTTCTGGCTAAAATATTGAGTTAGCCGTTTTTAAAAATCGGCTCAAAACGAGCCGTTTAACAACACTTGATAAATTGATTACATTTATACTCAATGTCACCAAGGTACCTGTTGGGAGGGGCAATTAATAATATGTCAACAGGGATATCAAACAAAAATTAATACAAAGATCAATGATTCTCATCATCCTATGGTCCATGTGGGTGTTGGGTGGGGGTAAAAAGTGCATAATAAAATATCTCAACATGGATATCAAAGAAATCTAATAAAATCATTATTTAAAACAATAATTATTTCCAAAATTAAAATTATTGCCAAAAACTTTATTTCTCAAATTATAAAGCAAAAATTAATGAATGAATATAATATATTACAACCATAACAAAAACAAGTGTGATATCATAAATTATTTTATAAGATAAATAATAATATAATAATACCATATAACTAGACTAAAATTTTCAGGGGCACAATATTTATTAAAAATTTTTTTTAAATGAATTTAATTTATTAATCAATGTATTACATTTTTTTATAATTTATTTAGGCGCTTTTCTAACACATTGTTAATTTAAATTATTTCCTGCCTCACTCCAATTTAAATTTATGTATTTTCTCATTCTCAGAAATAGACTAAGGAATTGCATTTTTACTCAGATCAGAGTAACATAAAGAACACATATTAGTAATATTTTATTGATTTTTATTATAACAAATTAAAATATAAATATGATGGAATGCAAGCAAAATATAAAGTATGAAATATAATAAATTAGAATTCAGATTTAGCAAAATTATAATTGTCAAATAGTATTTTATCAAGATTTATGGGACATAAAGAAGTCCTTTTTATATTGAGTATTAATCCAGCAATGGAAAAATTTTTTCTCTGGGTGTACTAGGTGCAGGTATATAAAGAACCTTCCTAGCTAAATTAGCAAGCCTAAGAAGTTTCAGTCGCCTTTTCTTCCAATAAAGATGCATCCCCTTCTGTGATATTATGTTGGCTGAGCAAAATATGACATTCTTGTTCTATAGTGTGTACGAGCTAGTTATATGAGAACTGAATGTTTTCCCATTATTTTCAACTAGAATCTCTAGTTTTAAATGTCTAATTAAAAATTGCAATGATGTCGTAGAATTAGAATTTAAATATTTTGAAACAATTTTAAGATTTTGAAATCTGGGATCAAGTAGAGTCATTGGTACCACGTCAATTCAGTGCGGCGACATTCGGCGCGTATCTAATACCACTGCAATTTATTATAAATTTATTAATATAAAAAAAAGGATGATTAAATAGAAGTCATTTTGAATGTTAGTCTTATTAATTATCTCTTCATATTTTTTTACAAAAATCTCAATTTTATTTACTAAATGTGTAATATCAATAAAAAATTTAATAATATCAAGAAAAATTAACCAATATTTATGCCGATTTCATATGGTGAATTAATTTACAACATTATTATACATATTATTTTATGCTAAAATCTTAATCGACCGTTTTTAAAAATAGACCCAAATCGGCCGTTTAACAAAACTAATGTTGATCCAAAAAATTCAAATTAAGGCTGACTCTTTTTTTCAGATTTATTAAAAAATCCTTAAAATAATTTGAAAAAAATATATAATATGTTTAGGCTTATTTTTTCTATTATAAAATAATCAAAAATGAATTAACAAATTTTTTTTATTTATAAAAAAATCACTAGAAAATATAAATATATTCTATAATAGTGCGCACAAATTGAGCGTTTCGAACGCTGCGTTGCAAACGCAACTAATGCATTTCAAATGCATACGTTTAAATTGCGCACTTTTACTTTTTCCAATTGCGCACTTTTACTTTTTCCAATTGCGCCAATTTTAAAAAACGCAATCTGGTTTGCTTTTTTTGTAACTTTTTTCTATAAAACAAAAATTTTGATTCGATAAAATATGGATATTCCTTCAAAAATGTAAGAAATATGATAATTTTTAAATATTAATTGATAGACAACATACAAATGGTTAGAGTATATAAAATTTATGCCTACAATTGCTGATAGCTGACCACTAGTAATTTTGATACTAGTAAGAGTATTAAGAATGTTTCTTCATCCCCAAGCCAAAAATTGGATGAAAAATTATTGAATCTTATAAATAGAAGCCATCTCCAAACAGGTAAAATTTATAATTGTCTTAAAAAACTTATATTTTATCAAGATTATTTCTACTTTCAATGGAAGAAGGGCTAGATGGTTTTAGTACACCTAACCAATGCCTTTTTAAATCTGAAGTAATGAAAATCTTCTATTCCATCACAATGAATAGTTATATTCAACCAATAGAAAATGGTCAAACTCCTCTTGAAATATTTAATAGCATTAATGAATAAATTATGTGTATTTATATATTATTTGTAAATATATATGATTTTATTGTATTTATTTTTATTCCTAAATAAAATTTTATTTTTATGTCCAAATTTGTTATTAGATATCTTTTACTATTTAAAATAAATATTTATAAAGTTTTTATTTATTAAAATAGTGTCCAAATTTATTAATAAAGATTAAAAAATTAGATTTATTAAAATATAAATACTTAATTCTAATAATAATAAAAGTGCTTTGAATAATATAGAAATTATAATATAATTAATAAATAACTCATTAACTTCAGTTTTTTATTAAATTTTTTGTTAAATAAATTCAGAGATTTTAAATTATAAGGTGATCAGAATAAAGATTTAAAAATTTAAACACAAATCTATTTTATTATATAAATTTATTTATTAGGTAATATTCTCAATAATAACAATAATCAATTACATATTTGATACAATTCATTATTTATAACAATGATATATAAAAAAATAATTAAAAATTTTTTAAATTTATCTCTTAAAATTCTTGATTCAATTGTTGATGAATTGTTTTCTCTGTCAATGCCAATAAAGAATGGTCTAGTGGCCAGATTTGACATTGTATCTTTTACATATAAAGAAAATATAAGGTACCAAAATGTTTGTGCACCTATTCCTTCATTGCTTATTATTATATTATGTAGCAAATTATCTATTTATATCTGTTAAGGCCAACAAAACTATTGTGAATCTATGTTTGTAACAAAAATAATTGAGATAAACTATTGGGTTGGGAGGATATTTTATATAAATATGTTTCTCATCCAAGGCAACAATACAATTGGGGAACCCTGAATAGATCAGGAATTTTTGGGAAATCTAAGTAATTATATATTAAATTATTAATTTATATAAATTTAATGTAATCTTCCCCAATCCTTTCTTGAAGGCTTTAGCATGTAAATATCTTTGGCAGCATTCCAAATTGCCCTGCATACTGATTTAACTATGTATGCAACATAATTGAAAAGGACATACCAGCTATTAAATATCTTTTATGAAATATAGGATAATTAAGTGTAATAAACTTAGAGAATAATTGTCATATTTGAGATGTTTTTCCTCCTTCTTTTATGTTTTGTCAATAAATATAATGCTAACATCTTTTCCTGATCCATACTAAAAAACTCCATTTATTTACAAAATTATAAATAATTTAAAAACGCCGCCTCAATTTAAACAAAGCAAGCGTTACATTTTTTTTATTAAAAAAAGTACGGCAAAACGCAAACGCTCAATTTGTGCGCACTATTTTTTTTTTTTTTTTTTCTCTTTAGCTTTCACCTTTTCTGGTGGTAAGCTCCTTCAACATCTCTCTCCACTTTATGTTATTCGTACAATCTCTTTTATCTATTTTATACTTCTTTATATTGGCTCTAACTTTATGGCCCCATTGAAGTTTTGGCCTTCCTCTTTTACGTTTGCCCATCACTTCCAATCTTTCAACTTTATTTCCTATGTAGTTCATAGGCCTTCTCATTGTGTGCCCATACCACCTAAGTCTGTTTACCATTAACTTAGTCTTAATGGGCACTACCTTTAAACTATTTAGTATTCTTGTACTGCGCACCTTATCCTTTCTTGTTACCCCAGCAATCAACCTCAGCATTCTCATCTCCATAGTTTGTAGACTTCTCTCGTCTGATTCTTTGGTTGGCCATGTTTCCGAACTATATAGAATAGTTGGTTGTA